TTAAGGCAGCTAAATCCGAATTAAAGTCCTAGTGTAGACCAGGCCTATGTATTTGGGGGTCTGCTGCTTTGATTTATGGCTCTCTTGCAAATGAAAGCACAATGATGCTGGTTTGACAGAACAAAAAAATTATCCCAGACCACTGCTAATTTCAGAGGTTGGTTTTATCAGTCAGTTAACACATTAACAATTTTTTGAGTAAGAAATTCTTAAGGCACAAAGTTAATCTCTTGAATCATAATTTATATTACAGGTTTGTGTTGAACGTAAAACCTTCATCTTGTTTCAAGCTGTGAATATGTTTTCTTTAAACATTTCCTTGACTGTACTGTTAGGTACTGTTGCAGTAATTACTTCTGATGGAAGAATGATTGTGGTGAATATAAAATTAGTACTATGTAAATAGTTTTGTTTGAATTATGTGGGTTTTGAAAAAATAACTAGATCATTCAACTTCTAATGGTAGATGCTACACACAAATAACAAAGCATGGAAACTAACCTTTTTTAAAGAGACATCACTTTTAAAATCCTGTCAGTTTAAAAACAAGTTTCAGATACTGTTGGGGTATGAAAGACCCACACAAACAGGGAAAACTAACTATACAGCAGAAATGGTGAAATTGGCTATCTGTAATTGGCTGTCAACTGTACAAAGTACACTTGAAAAAAGTAACTCCCTCTAATACAGTGGTTTTGAAACGGCAGGTCGAGACCCAGTACTGAGTCTTGGAATGTAAGGCAGTGGGTTGCGGTGGCTCTGGTCAGCACCACTGACCGGGCCATTAAAAGTCCTGTCGGCGGTGCTGCCTGGCTAAGGCAGGCTACTCCCTACCTGTCCTGACGCTGTGCTGCGCCCCAAAAGCAGCCAGCAGCAGGTCCAGCTCCTAGCCGGGGGGCCCCATGCGCTGCCCCCGTCCTGAGTAATGGCTCCGCACTCCCATTGGCCGGTTACCAGCCAGTGGGAGCTGGGGGGGTGCCTGTGGGCGAGAGCTGCACAGAGCTGCTTGTGCGCCTCCTCCTAGGAGCCGGACCTGCTGCTGGCTGCTTCCGGGGTGCAGCGCGGTCCGTGGTGTCAGGACAGGCAGGAAGCCTGCCTTAGCACCCCGCTGCGCTGCTGACCGGTAGCCGCCCACGGTAAGCTCATGCCCCAACCCTGCCCCCCCCCCCCCCACCCCCCCCTCCTGCCCCCCAAACCCCTCATCCCCGCCCCCACCCCTGCACCCCAACTCTCTGCCCCAGCCCTGAGCCCCTCCCACACTCCAAACCGCTCATCCCCAGCTCCATTGGGTTGCAGGCATCAACAATTTTTTTCAACTGGGTTGCCAGAAAAAAAGTTTGAAAACCACTTCTCTAATATTAAAGTTACAGTAATCTTAACTGTTACTTGTAACGTGATAGTAAATGATAATCTTAAACTGACTCTCTGCTTTCAAGTTCCAGTCTCTAACAGTATATATTTATTCAGCTTTAAAGCTCAGAGTAAAATCTAGAATGATCATCTCTTCTACAGTATATTGCTGCCTGAGTTATTCTTGTGCACTAAAATGAAAAACTTAAAGATCATTGGAATACTTAATTTTTTTGTGCGCTTTTCAGGGAACCCTCAAAGGTTTTGATCAGACCATCAACTTGATTTTGGATGAAAGCCATGAACGAGTGTTCAGTTCTTCACAAGGAGTTGAACAAGTAGTATTGGGATTGTACATTGTTAGAGGAGATAATGTGTAAGTATAGCTTATTCTTTTCTAATCCAATCAAATCAGAATTAGTTAAAAATGTTTAAAGCTGTAATGATGCAAGATGTCAGATTAATAAACCTGAAACCCTAAGTTCTCTTTATCCACAGGTTCAGGACAGTAACAGTAAGCCTCCCTCAACCTTGACATAGTGGGCAAACATCTGTAGAATGGCTAAAATAGTTCAGTCTCCAGCCAAGAAGTCTCCCAGTTAGTACTAGCTCAGATGAAGATGTGCACACTTGTCACTAGAAAGTGAGGAAGATATTTTACAAAGGCCCTGAATAGAGCCATCAGAGGGTTCAGTTTTTGGTCAGTAACAGCTTTAGTCATATTCAAACTGGTAACCTAGAGCATTGTTTCTCAAATGCAACCACGACAGCCTCCTGGGCAGAGATGGGGAGGGGGCAAAGCAGCGGCCCCTCCCTGCAGCGCCTAGGGGTGGGCTTCAGCCCCCTCACCCGCCGTCTTCAATTGTGGGACTGTGGGGGCAGGCTTCACACCCCCACCCCTGCCCGGCTTCAGCTGGAGGCTCCGGTGGCAGGCTTCAGCCCACCCTGCTTGGCTTCAGCCAAGGGACTCTGGGGGAGGGCTTCAGCCCCCCCGCCCCCCCCGCCCCTTCAGCCATGGGCCTCTGGTGGTGGGCTCTGGGCTTCCCCCCCCTCCCAGGGTGGTGGTGCTCTGTGCTTCAGGCCCCCTCTTTCCCAGGTCCAGATGTGGGGCTCTGGGCTTCAGCCCAGGGTGGTGGGGCTTCA